TTAGCAAGAAGCCTGCCACGGCCATACAGTTTGTAAGCAATATAAGTCTCTGTGTTTACTTGGTTGGGTCTGAGCGGCTGTGGGACTGGCGGGTAGCAAAGATTTGTCCTGACTGTGGGCAAGGCAGGAAAACTCTAGCTACACAGGCCTAAGAAAAAAAGGAAAAAGCTGCCAGTAATCTTAGGATCTTGTGCACACTAGGCAATGCTCTATTGCTGAACTATGATGCCAGACCCCACATTATTATTTTTTTAAATCTTGAGACTGGGTCTTGCTGCACAGGCTGGTGATATTCTTGTCTCAGCCTCCTAAGTGTTAGGATTACCATGTACCAACACACCAGTCCCCAAATTACTTCATTTTTTTATATTATGTGTATATATGTGTGCCTGTGTAAATGTATGTGTACCACATGCATACAGAAGGCCATGGAGGCCAGAATAGGTGTTTAGATCCCCTGGAATTGGAGTTATAGATGGTTGTGGGCCACTATGTGGGTGCTGGGAATGGAACCTGGGTCTTCTGGGATAGCAGTCAGTGCTCTTAACCGCTGAGTTACCTCTCCAGCCCAAAATTACTTTTTGTTGTTGTTGTTGAGACAGGCTTTCTCTATGTAGCCTGGCTGTCTTGGATCTAACTCTGTAGACCAGGCTGGCCTCAAACTCACAGAGATCTGCCTGCCTCTGCCTCTCAAGTGCTAGGATTAAAGGCATACGCCACCACTGTCTGATTATTAATAAGCTCAAGTAGGGTGGGGCAGTGGTGCTATATGCCTTTAATCCCAGCACTCAGGAGGCAGAGGCAGGTAGATCTCTGTGAGTTTGAGGTCAGCCTGGTCTACAGAGCAAGTTCTAGAACAGCCAGGGCTACACTGCAGGACCCTGTTTCACACACACACACACACACACACACACAAAAAGCAAAAAGCTCAAGTTGGGGAGAATTCATCATCTCATGAGTAATTGAAGCATCATCCTTTATAAATTTATTGTAAATTAAGCTCTCAAGTTGTATTATGGGTTCTTTCCTTTCTGCACCTTTTTTATAGGTGTATTTATATATCTCTATTATATTTCCTGTATAACTATATGATTTTGTGGGGCTAGAGACATGGCTCAGCAGAGCAGTGGTTGCTCTTGCAGAGGACCTGGGTTCAATTGCCAGTACCCACAAGGCAGTTCAGCATATTCAACTCATTTCTGGCGCCCTCTTCTGGCCTCTGTGGGCATTGCATGCACATAGTACACAGACATACCTGAGGTGTCTTGGTGGAAATGTGTTCCTTGGAACTCTGAGGAAAACTGAAGCTGGCAAGCAGTGGAGACATGAAGCTCCTGTAAGGATAGCCAGCCCTCTCTGTGTGTTTCAGGCATTTCCTTCCTGGGAGCTAAGTTGTTGTAATGCCCGCCCACTGCTCTTCCCACAGTCATACCCAATCGAGTTTTCTTCACTGACTTTTCCCTCATATGTAAAACCTAATCTCTTTCATCTTTAGTCTCATTTTCAGTTGTAAGCAATTAAATGATAAGGCCTCTATTTGTAATGCTCTACTCAAGGCAAAAATGATGAAGCCTCAAATAACACACTTTTAAAGTATTTTTTTTCAAACCAGAAAGGATACTTGACAAATGTCTCCACAATCACTGGCAGATCTATGCTTAGAAAGTTGAAACGTGGGATAAAACTCGTGATGCTCACTAAAAATGAAAAACAAGGAATAATAAATGTTATCCATATCAGATAAGCAACAACATTATAGATTTACCATATGGTCAAAAATTGCACTAGTCTATTAAAATGGGTGAGCAAACCTTTCCTACACATGTATAAGCAAGCTATATACCTTATATATAAGGAATCAGGGCCAAACCTTTAATTCCATTACTTGGGAAGCAGAGGCAGGAGGATCTTTGTGAGTCTAGCCTGGTGTATAAAGCAAGTTCCAGGTCAGCCATGGCTATACAGTAAGACCTTGTCTCAAAAAAAAAAAAAAAAAAAACGGGAAAAAAAGACGGATAGAAGGAGGAAGAGAAAGCGGTTAATAAGCATCCACTAAGTATAATGGAATGAAAAAACTCATGTCCCAATGTATACTTATGTTTTGAGGTTACAGTTAGATAAAGCAGACTACAGACCAATTATGACTACCAAATATAGTGTGACTTGAAAATATAAGTTATATCAAAAGCATTTTTATCTTTTCAAAGCGGTGTATTCTAAAAATTTGTTCCAACTATTATGCTATTTAAAATGATTGCTTCTTTATTGCTAAGATAATGATTAACATGAGGGAATCTTTAAAGTCCCCCTACTCTATGGATTCCATTACCCTGTTTTGGTCTAAAATGTATTCAGTCATTAGGCAAAACTCACAAACCATATTTCTAAATTAACCCCAACTAGAACCGTTTCTTCATTTATTGAGAATATACTCAATAGCTGCCTGGAGTCACTTAACATCAAACCAATAAACAAGGAAAATGATGCAGGTTGTCTCTCACTATATAACTATAAGACAGGCCACATGGGGTGGCGCACGCCTTTAGTCCCAGCACTTGGGAGGCAGAGGCAAGCGGATCTCTGAGTTTGAGGCCACTGCCAGCCTGTTCTACAAAGTGAGTTCCAGGATAGCCAGGGTGACAGAGAGAAAAACAAAAAAGAACAAAAACTATGAAGTAGTTTTGTGTGTGGTGCTGCGTGCCTTTAGTCCTAGCATTCAGGAGGCAGTGGCAGGCATATCTCTATGAGTTTTAAGTTGTGCCTGGTATATGTAGCAAGTTCTAGGCCAGCCAGGGCTACATAGTAAGTCTCTGACTAAAAACAAAAATGTAATAAACAAGAAGAAAAGCCATTTAAAGAATAGCATAAAATGCAAATATTCATCTACTGATAAACGGAAAAAGGAAATATAGTCAGTCAAGGATGAACCTTGAAAACATTATGCTACATGAAATAAGCCAGCTGTAAAATATTCACTTTATATGAAACTTATAGAACAGGCACATTTATAGAAACAGAAAGTATATTAGTGGTTGCCAAAGGCAAGGGATGTTCATGTTGGGCTGGGGATAAACCTCAGATGGTAGAACGCTTGCCTAGCATGTATGAAGCCCTGGGTTTTATCCCCAGAGCCATATGAAAGAGGGTGTGGTGGTGTACCCCCTATAACCCCAGCACTCAGGAAGTGATAACAGGAAGATCAGGAGGTCAACATTGTCCTCAGTTATATAGGGAGTTTGAGGCCAGTCTTGGCTACATGAGACCTTGTCACATTCATGTGTCATGCACTTTTATGTATTCTGGTAATCTCAGCAACATGCAGCTCTTGTCACTGTTTTGGAGAGTTTGGAAACATTTTATGACCTTGTGGAAAACATCAGAGATTATCTATCTGACTTGAGAAAAAATTATAGGGAAGAAAAAAGAAAAGCCATTCTCCATAGGCTAATTATTTTTCTTCTACTTTAACTCCACTTAACGCATAAGAACAAGTTAAAACTTTGATTGATAAGTGATCAAATTTATAATAAATGGAATCAACACAAGGATTTATATTGAGTTCTTTCAATTGAGAATACATATGAACTTCATGATTTTTAAAGAGTCTATTCCCATAATACCTACCTGTGTAGTGAAGATGCAGTGGATGCCCTACATACAGCATATCAATTTGAGGTGGATGTTTCACTTTTATTAATCGAGTGTGAGTTTCCAAAGATGGTACTATACAGAAACTTGAACTTGAGCTGGTTTTGCAATCTTTGTTGGTTCTACAAACTTGAGTAGCTTCAACTGCTTTCCGGGCAGGTAGACATGTATGCTAAAAATATATTAGTCAATATTAAAAAATTATTTATTAACATGAAGAATCTAGGTTGCATTCCTTCATGTTTTTTTCATAATCCAGCAGATTAGGAATGACCTTCATATAAAAGGAATGCTACTTATGTGCACCTACTATAAAATAAATATCAATATTCCATGTTTGCTCTATGGATATCATACCACTATAATTTTTAGATTCTCAGATAAAATGTGATATCTGAAACATGAAGTTCTTAATTAAATGACACAAAGTAAATAGAATAAAGAAAGTTTTATAGCTTTTGTTTTGGCTTTATCTATTTATTATAGGAACTATGTGAGACAAGTAAGACTGCCTTGGGGGCAACTTACCAAACGCTTATTAAAATTATTTCTGTAGGAAAAACACACATCTGTGAGGCTGTGATTGTTACAGCATTCAGTAGAACCATCTAGTCGTTTGTATGCTAAAAAGAAACATAGTACTCATTAGAATCGATTTACATAGAAGTATATTTGTTAAAAATTCTGCTTTTTAAAGACAAAAACAGTAAGTAGAGTGGTATATAAATCTGGAAGCAACTGATAATGCAGTATCTAGCTTAACAGCTACTGGCTATAATTTAATTTTATAATATTAAAAATACGCAATTTGAAATAAGAAGCTACATTCAGGTGCTGGCATTAGTATAGCTCAGTTGGTTCAGTGTTTGTCTAGCACACATGGAAGCCTGGGGTTGATCCCTGGCATCCTATAAGCCAGGCAAGGTGGCACACACATATAATTCCAACACATAGAAGGTGAAGGCAGACCAGAAGTTCAAGCTCATCTTCAACTAAGTACTGAGTTAAAGACCAACTTGGGTTACATGAGACCTTGTTCAAAAAATAAACGAACAAGCAAACAAAGCAGCTGCACTGACCCCAGGTTAGGTGTCCCTATAAATGGATCCACCCATAAAGCTAAAGCTAGAGTGAGATTTAGGTTCTGTGATAGGAACTCCAGGCTCTTTCTGAAGTATATAGTGAAGAAGGGCCTATCTACCAACTTCTAAAAAGGGACATTTGGGAGTAAGGGACTCTGACAAATGTTCCAACCTTAAAGAATCAGATTAATCACTAAAAAAAAAAACAAAAACAAAAAACTTATTATTAGTGAACAAGGGAATACCAGTCATCTGGACTTCTCCCAATATCATACAAAACAAAGCACTGAGCATTACCTATGAAATACTTTAAAGGGAGGGAGGGAAGGAGAGCGAGAGACAGAGACAGAAATAGACAAGAAGGGAAGAGAGGGAAAGAATCCTAAATCAAATCAAGCCTCTAAATTTGAAAAAGACTACGTAAAATTTGAGAAAACAAGTGACTCAGTTTCAATAAACATGACATTTCAAAAACAAGGGGTACTGAGATAAACCGAAGAGATTTAGAAGGCATAATAACACCATAACATTAAAACAATAGCTCAGTGAGTAAAAGCGCTTGTCACCCAACTACGCAAGCCTGATGGCCTGAGTTCCATTCCTAGAACACACAGAAAGGCGGAAGGAGAGAAACAACTTCACAAAGTTGTCCTCTGACTTCCGTACATTAGCAGTACCCCCCCCACACACATATATGCACACAGTAAATAAATGCAGAAATAAAGAAAATGTTTTATAATAAAAGGCTCATGGATATATGGAAGATTAAATCTGAAAAGGATCTGGGAGGTGACCTTTTCAGAGTTTAGCCTTCTCATCTGCCGCACAGGCCAACAAACCTACTTCCCAGGTCTTTTTGGAAGTTGAGACAACCTTCTCTAAAGGTTTCTGCTAAACAAAACACACTAAAGAACACTACCCCAGATAGGTTTGGACATGTTAGCATCCATACATGGCTACTAGAACTGCTTCTGTTTAGGTATATTTTAGTGAGAAAAAGGAAGGGATTTTTTTTTAAGAGATCCACCTGCCTCTGCTTCCCAAGTGCTGGGATTAAAGGCGTGCACCATCACCTGGCTTGGAAGGGACTCTTTTAAATGTGCAGAGGGCTTTGTCTTTGCCAATTTCTTTGGATTTGTTGTAATTTTTCCTTATTGCATGTCTGTGTATTATTACAGAATTACTGTTATGCAGCCAGGCAGTGGTGGTGCACACCTTTAATCCCAGCACTCAGAACACAGAAGCAGGTGGATCTCTGTGAGTTCCCAGCCTGGTCTACCTAGTGAGTTCTAAGATAGCTAGGGCTGTTAGACAGAGAAACCCTGTCTCAAAAATCAAACAAACAAAAAAGAATGCTTATGCGTTGATCTTATTTCCTTGGTTGTTAGCTATTAGTTCTTTATCTGATCATACAACAGCATATACAGGTTTAACTCAGTGTTTATCTAGCACCAAAGGAAAAAAATGCTTCTGGCAAGAATTGCTTCTTGTTATGTTTACAATATTAGACATAGCTGGGAGCAGAAGAGATGATCTCCCCCAGGAAGAGCACATCAATAGGTTGTCCAGTGCTGAATGATCAGCACTAAAAACATGCACGTAACATTATACGGACCGAACAGGTTATACTTAAGAATATATATTATATAATTATACATCTATGCATGCAATAACAGTGAAAAAAGAGGCCATGAATTTGAAGGAGAGTGGGAAGGGGTATATGGGATGGTTTTGAGAGAAGAAAGGGGAAGAGAGAAATGTAAGTATATTATAATCTCAAAAATGTTTTAAATGCTTAAAATTTAGACTTAAATTTAGATACAATTATGTGTCTACACATGTGAAAATATACTACACTGGTGTATTTACTAAAATGTGGTTAATTAATTACAGTTGATGGTTGTTTTGATTTTTGGTTGTAGTGGGGATTGAACCTTGGGCCTCCTGCAAAGGCAGGCAAACACTCTACTACTGAGCTACACACCCAGAGTCCATACTGTTGAGCATGGATATTGATTTGACACATTTTTGTTTGTTTGTTTTTATTGTGAGACAGGGTTTCTCTCTCTGTAGCCCTAGCTGTGCTGGAACTCACTCTGTAGACCAGGCTGGCTTTGAACTCAGAGATCCTCCTGCCTCTGCCTCCCAAGTGCTAGGATTAAAGGCGTTCACCACCACATCCAGCTGATTTTACACATTTTTAAAATTATTATTTTTCTGTGGTACTAGAGATGGAACTCGGGTCCTTGCACAGGTTATACAAATCTTCTATCACTTGAGTTACACACTCAGCCTGAACAAAAGTGTTCTGAGTTCTAAAAGTCAAATATAATAGTATAAAAGAAATTAGAAGTTCAACAATATATAATACAGGAAACAAATACCCAGCATACCAAGAAGAATATCTATTAGTTTGGGCCTATTTATTTTAATACCTTGCTTTAAAACAATTGAAACAAAATAAATCAATAGGTCTTAGGGTCAGTAATGGAAGGGACTGGTACCTGAAGCATTATGTTATATTGAGAAAATGCACACACCTCTAACTGGGAAGCTTAATTGTTGTAACGTTGATGCACTTATACAGTAACCAATTTGGGGCTCATATGCAATGGTATCTAAACATTCATTCCAATCTTGCACGTTAGTAACAGGACAATCCTGAAGATGAGTGACAAGGTCTCCCACAAAAAGGCCTCGGGGTCCAATGGCAGGTGAATCCTTGGGAAGAAGGAAAATCAAACCAAACAATGTACAATAGCAAGCTATAGTCAATCTAAACTAACCATAATAATAGACACTGCACTAATTAAAAGTAGACTACTTTTTAACATTTTTATTAGTTCTTTGAGAATTTCACACAACGTATTTTGAACTTATTCACCCCTCCCTCAACTCCCTCAAACAACCCTCTCCACTCTCCTATTCCTTTCCATTCAGCTTGGAGTTTTCTTCAAAGTAGAATATTTTGAATAATGCATAAAATAATTCATCTCTAAATCCAAAATTTATAGTCAAACAATTTTAATTGCATTCCTCTGATTAAGAAGTGCGCATGGGGGGGGAAGACATGAAGTTTGGGGGTGGTGACAGGGAGATGGGGGTAGATCTGGGAAGAGTTAAGGGGAAGAGTGAATATAACCAAAATACATTATATGAACTTGTCAAAGAATAGTATTTTTTAAATTAAAAAGAACCAAAGCAGAATAAATGTGTACCTAATAAATATAAACAAATTCTGTCACTCTAAAAATAAATAAATAAGCTGGGTGTGGTGGCATACACCTGTAATCTCAGCACTGGGGAAAGCGAGGGCTACACAGTCAGACCCTGTCTCAAAATAAATACATTGTAAAAAAGAAAAGAAAAATCTGTGCGAGCCTTTAGGGGGAAAACAAAATTAAAAAAAAAAAAACAACAACACAATGAACAGAAACAGGAGCCAAGGAGGCAGCTGTTGATAAGTGCTTGCTGGGCAAGCATGAGGACCTGAGTGGGGATCCCCAGAACTCACCCCCACACAAAAACACAGAGTGGTTTATACCTGCGGAAGCAGACAGTAAGATCCCTGCAGCTTGCTGGCCAGCCAGCATAGTCAAATGGGTGAGCTCTAGGCTAAGTTAGAGACCCTGTCTCAAATATTAAGGAGGAGACCTCGAGAGATGGCTTAGTGGTTAGAGCACTGGTTGTTCTTCCAGGAAACCCAGGGTTTGATTCCCAGCACCCACATGGTGGCTCACAACTGTTTGTAACTCCAGGTCCAGGGGATCCAAAACCCTTTTCTGGCTTCAATGGGACCTAGGCAAGCACCTGAGAGGTATGGCTCTCTCTGTGTGTGTGTGTGTGTGTGTGTGTGTGTGTGTGTGTACACATATTCACATTCCTATGTGTGTGTGTGTGTATGTGCAAAACTCCCATACATATAAAATGATACAATTTAAAAAAAAATAAGCGTTCAAAGCTAGCCCACTCTACATTGTGAGTTTTAGGACATCTAGGGCTACATAGTGAGACCCTGTCTCAATAAATAAATGCATATTAGGGGAGAGCATTAAGGAAAACACCTGATGTCGATCTCTGGCCTCCACATGCATCAACACACACACATGCACACACCCACTTGAACACTGATTATAAACACATAGAAAATACCTGCTAATTAAAATTCAAGAGAGATGGCTCAGCAGTTAAGCTGTTCTTCCAAAGGACCTGAGTTCGGTTCCCAGTACCCATGGAAAGTGGCTCTTAAGAAGCTCTAATTCTAGCTCCAGGGTATCCCAGACACTCTTCTAGACTTTGTGGGCACTGTTGCTCTTTCAGAGGACCTGAGTTCAGTCCCCAGCATCCATGTCAGGCAGCTTACAACCACCTCCAACTCCAGCTTCAGGGGATCAAACACCCTCTTCTAGAAGGCCTTTACTGGCACATACATATGTGTAGCATATATAAACATAAATAAAATTTTTACAAATTCAAGAGAAACTCCTTATATCCTTAGTGGACAAAACCATAGGATAAGTCTTTATATAAACACAGTCACAAATATATACACAAAGGCAATGTTCCCCTTGAAAAGATCTGCACAGAGACTTGACAGCATCATAGTAGCTACTAAAATACAGAACTGGCAATAACTTAAAACTCCTACAAAATGTTCTGCCTGGGTAACCTAGCTGAATTATTCTTGTTAGTAGTGTTGAAAAGCAGAAATATAAAAATAAACAATAAAGATAAGCAAAGCCTTTTTATCAATAAACCACATACACAAAATCTTGATATTACCTTTTTAGCTCAGAACAAAAAACAATTTTCATGACATTAAAAAAATATCCAACATATTTCCCCACACTGTGTTTGCATTTGGAGGGATTTTAAAAATTACAAGCGAGCATCTGCTGAGAGCACACCCTAGGTGACCCATTACTAACCTCTGCGACTTCAGTGATAAGTACCCCAACTCCAGTATAGTAAAATGGCAAGAGGATTACCGGGAGGAGAACAAGAGCTAAAATCCCAAGGAGAGCAAGGACAAAATTATGCCATATACCTGCAAAGAGAGAGGATCAAAGTAGTAAGTTCAACCGTAGCAAGAATGAGATAGTTTGCTTGACTTCATAACACATGGCATTCCAATAAGATTATAAATAGAACAGGAGTGGTGAGGCAGAAGGATCTACTTCCTGTTGCAGCAGACATATGCTCACTAAGTCAGCCTTCATTTCAGATACTAAAATCGGAAATGTACATAATACTATAATTATGAAGACTATATGAGATTAGGATTTAATATAAGTAGAACTAACACCTTCTAACTATGCATTCTTTATAGAATATACACATACATCCTTAATTTAAACATGCTCATGTTCTTTGATACAAAGCTCAAGTAAATACAAACCAAAGTCAAGGTGAAATTAAAAAGCAAAATTCTCAGGGCTGGGGAGATGGTTCAGTAGTTAAAACACTTGCTGTGCAAGCATAAGAATCCGAACTGAAGCAGGGCAGCGGTGGCGCACGCCTTTAATCCCTGCACTCGGGAGGCAGAGCCAGGCGGATTTCTGTTAGTTCGAGGCCAGCCTGGTCTACAGAGGGAGATCCAGGACAGGCACCAAAACTACACAGAGAAACCCTGTCTCGAACGCCCGCCCCGCCCCCAAAGAATCCGAACTGAGATCCCTAGAATCTGCATGACAGCTGAGCACAGAGGAACCTATCCGTAATTTCAGCACTGGGGGTGAAGACAGGCAGATCCTGGGGGCTCACTGGCTAGCCAGTCTAAAACCATGAGCTCTAGGTTCAGTGAGAGACACTGTCTCACCAAACCTGGTGGGGAGGAGGCAGAAAGGTATGGACATCAGTCTCTGACCTCCTCAAGTGTATGCTTGCATAACCCCCCCCCCCCACACACACACAATAATAAAATTTTTTTAAAGATTTTTTATTTTTAAATTCGGAGCTGAGGACTGAACCCAGGGCCTTGCGCTTGCTAGGCAAGCACTCTACCACTGAGCTAAATCCCCAACCCCTAAAGATTTTGAAAATGTATTTTAAAAATTTAAAATTACATTATTTTAGTGTGTGCACGCTCATGTGTGCTACAGTATACATACACATGGGAATCAAAGTACAACTTGTCAGAGGTTTTCGTCTTCTCCCATGTGAGGCCTGGTGACTGAACTCAGGTCATGAGACTTGGCAGCAAATGCCTTTATCCACTGAGTTGCCTCAATGCCTCAGTATAAAATTATTTATCAAATATAGTTAGCAAATATGGAAAAACTATCAAAATTATAGCAATCTCATCAATCCCATGTCTTAGATCTGGTACAAATGCAATTATTATAAACTCATTATTAAAATCTTTTCATTAGCTGGGCAGTGGTGGCGCATGCCTTTAATCCCAAAACTCAGGAGGCAGAGGCAGTGAGTTTGAGGCTAGCCCTGTCTACAGAGCTAGTTTCAGGACAGTCAGGACTGTTACACAGAGAAACCCTGTCTCAACCTTCCTCCCCTAATCTTTTAATTATTATGTGTGTGTGAACTTGTGGAAGCCAGATATATGGGATCCCCTGAAGCTGGAACCACAGGCGGTTGCAAGCTGTACTATGTGGGTGCTGGGAACTGAACTCAGGTTATCTAGAAGAGAAGATGCTTTTAAGGGCTCAGCCATTTCTCCAGCCCATAAACCTACCTATTTACTTATCAAGCTCCTTATTAACGATCATTTTACCAGCTCTGTGATAAACAGCTTGCTTTAACTGTTTATGCATCTAAGTAAGTATGTATGTGCAAGAGCAGAGCGAACACTAGAAAGGCGGGGCTCTAGGAAGGCGGGCTCTACTAGGAAGGTGGGGCCCTAGAAAGGCAGGCTCTAGGAAGGCAAGCCCTGGGAGGAAGGCAGGGCCCTAGGAAGGCGGGCTCTAGTAGGAAGGCGGGGCCCTGGGAGGAAGGCGGGCTTTAGGAAGGCGGGGCCCTGGTAAAGAAGGCGGGCTCTGGAAAGGCACGCCCTGGGAAGGCACGCCCTGGGAAGGCGGGGCCCTAGAAAGGAGGGGCCCTGGGGAAGGAAGGCGGGCTCTGGGAAGGCGCGCCCTGGGAAGG